AAATGATTTTACTCCTAAATGGCAGAGAATTGATCACTGAAAAGGCAGGGGCATGATCTACACATGTTTGGATTCCTATACAATAGGCCAGGACACCCCCACACATATATCAAGGGCCAGGACACCCCCACACACATGTAGAGGGCCAAGACACCTACCACATACCGTAGATGCTCATCAGGTTAGCAATCAGGCCTTATGGATGACTTTTTGTCCAACTCTTTCAAGCTTCCAGAGTCCCAACCTCACTAAGGTCAGATCCTCTCCTGTCAACATATTACATATTACATATGTAATATCTTTTCCTTTATAAGGTCACTGTTCATGTTTACAACTGTTTACCATTACCACATTCGAATTGAAAAACTATAAATCTATATGTCTATATTATATTTTTAAAGGATCACTATAGGGTCAGGAACACAAACATGTATTCCTGCCCCTATAGTGTTAAAACCACCATCTAGCCCCCCTGGGCCCCTCATGCCTCCATAAATATAGCAAAATCGTACTGTATTCAAGCCATAAGCTGTAGATCTGCATGCTGTTTGCCTCAAAAAAAAAACAAGCAGTCTGCTGACATCATCAGAAGTGGTAGTCTGATCCAATCACAATGCTTACCTATGGGATTGGCTGAGACTGACAAATAGGCAGATCAGGGGCACAGCCAGCATGATTCAAACACAGCCCTGGCCAATTAGCATCTTCTCATAGAGATGAATTGATACAATGAATCTCTATGAGGAAAGTTCAGTTTCTGCATGCAGAGGGAGGAGATATTGAATGTTTGGATGCATTTTAGGCAGCCATGACCCACGAAGGATCTCTAACAGCCATCTGAGGAGTGGCCAGTGAAGTTATCACTAGGCTGTAATGTAAACACTGCATTTTCTCTGAAACAAGAGTGTTTACAGCAAAAAGCCAAAAGGTAATGATTCTACTCACCAGAACAAATTCAATAAGCTGTAGTTGTTCTGGTGACTATAGTGTCCCTTTAATAAATATATAAATATAGATTGTTTTACTGCTCCTCCTCTTTTCCCTCTATTGGTTACTTCATCTCACTTGATCTGAGAATCAGATGGTGTGAACCAAATATCTATATCATATATATATTTTCCAGCAATCTGATTGGCCCTCTTGGTTCTTCTAAAATGTTTTCCCCAAATATTTTGCATTGACAAAATCTATCTAAATTCAAAATGCCACATAGACAAATCTGAATATAGCATGAATATGAATTAAGCTGTTGTTTGGCTTAAAGCAAATGCAATGACAGGAACTACTGCCACAGCTAAAATACATATATCTCATAAAATGCTGTTGGATATGGGTCTTGAGATAGGTAAGAGTGTCATGGAGTAGTATAATAGCGGAGCCATATCTAGTCTGGGCAGAGCTCACTGCTACTGATACTGCCGCCTTTTGATAAATGTTTTGTTAATTGTTGCATATTTTTCATACATTCTTTATATACTTAATTTAAAAATGGGTGTCAATTCCAGCCGAGAGTGGCTCTTTAACCCTTTTATTACCATTAACATGTATACATTTGCATAATTGATTTGCAACTATGACACAATACACCCTAAAGGGGTCATATATTATTGGCCTTTTTGCTAAATAAAAGTATTCATTGGCTTTACTAAATTTAAGCAATGTGTATTATAGATGCAGACACAATTGTGCTATGAACACACCAGGAAGCATGGCTATGAATAGGATGTCCTCTTCAAGTCTTGCATATAGCAAACACTACTGAAGATCCTAATCGTTTTACGGCATGCTTGTGTCCTTAGATCTCTAGAAAAATCTTGAACACAGATATATACAGTTCATTTGTATCCAATGCTCATGTACTTAAAGTAGGATCTCCTGGATTCACTTGATTGCTTAATATTTGCACAGGACTATACGCCACAGGATAGGTTTGTTGAATATAAGAGTCAATAATGGATTAATGCACATGAAATTCTTGAAAAATGTACATTAGACAAGAAGAAAATATCAATGAATTAAATAATAGCTGATTTGGAAAAAAAATGTTCATTATTTATTTCCCAACATGACAAATTTGTTATATATTTTTGAATTATAATTTACTGCAGTTAACTAGAAATTAAAAAAAAGAAGAAACCACTTTTCTGGAAATTATATCATTTTTTAAAACATCGAAAATCGTCTGTAACTTGCGTTAACCTTTTTTTTTCATGTGACACACTATTTTCTTTTCCTTCTTTTTGTTTTTGAAGATTTACCAGTTGACATCACAAGCCACTTTAATTCTGTTAAGTCCAAGCATAGCCAAGGACTAGACTGTATTCCGGGAGAAGAAAGAAAAGCATTGTGCGAGATTTAAAATGTTGTGTTCTGAAAAGTGGTGCAAAGATTTAAAAGGAAATGATTTACTAATGTGAAATACTTACTATACACAATGGTTTCCCTGGTGATTGTCCCACTTTTAGTATTTTGCACCATACTTCAGAATATGAAGCTTTGATAAATCTCTCTCGCTATTTCTGTTTCTTTACTAAAGCATATTATATTCAATGACCGAAAGAGGCAAATCTTACAATACAGCTTAACGCCATCTGGAGACTCTGCCAAATTTTCAGAGACTCCTTTAAGTGACAGCGCCACTGGGGATTTGCTGCCCAGGGGGCAGGTAAAGGTGAGATTTACTTACCTGAACCTGTCTCTAGCAGGTGCGGCGATCTTGATTTGGCGGGTCCTCTTCTGAGCCGATGTCACTGCTCTCTGCATGCACAAGAGTACAGCATTGAGATCTATGGAAGATCTTGTAAGATCACAGGATCCTCCATAGTGACGACTGTCGGGATTGACACTTGGACCCCGTTCTGAGTCTAAGAAAGTCTTGACTTGGTTGGAATTTCAATGAAATTCCAACACAGTCATAATGAGTATTTAATAAAGATTCTATCTTTATGAAATCTTTATGAAATGCTAATTTTTCAGGGTGGAGGTGGCAGTGCTGGTTTACGGTGGAGGCACTCCATTCCAGGAAAGAGCTAAATGTGTGGATTTCTACATTTCATTTTATTTTTCAGAACTCACAAACACATATTTGCTTAAGGATAAACAAGACATTTAAAAGCATGGGAATTACAGTTCTCTTTTAATCTCTCTGAATATTTTGGCTTTGCGCCATAAAGTTGATGTAATCCAACTACAGTTCTCATATTTAAATTGGAACAAAATCACGGATTAAAAAGACTGAAAATTAGTGACTAATGACCATTTATGATGGAGAAAATGGGCTATGAAGTAAAAATACAGTCTTTCCCCGAAAATAGGACCGGGTCTTATATTACTTTTCCCCCCGAAAAAAGCAATAGGGCTTATTTTCGGGGGATGTCTTATTTCAGGGAAGCAAGCATGTACTAGAAAGCAGGTCTGCGTTCAGGGGAATTCCCCCAAACATAGGCCAGTTCACTAGAGCATGGAATCCTGCGATTAGCTTACTAGTGTATGAATCCCACAAATCTTTGTTCGGTGAAAATTCTCTGAACATAGATTAGCGAACTAGCGACTAGGGCTTATTTTCGGGCTTATATTACCTATAAGGCTTCAAGTATCCCTGAAAATAAGATAGGGCTTATTTTCGGCGGAGGTCTTATTTTCAGGAAACAGTGTATTCTACAATAACTTTTGTATGCAACATTAGTTATCTCAATGGACAAAGAGATATATTAAAGAGTTACACCAACCAAAAAACTTTGTTTTAAGAAATTTACCTCCTTTTAAATGCTGAGGCCTGATCCTGCTCTGCTGATGTTACATGCCCTCACTTAAGGGGGCAGATGTCATGGATTGCAGACTGAGGGGAGGACATGTGCAGCAGAGATGTGGCTGGGACGCCATTAATTGTCTAGTGCCAGCTGTGCATATGGGCATTAGTTGCTAAATATGCACAGAATTCCGATTAACCAGCCCAGAATGCCCCAATGACATGGCCAGAGGTGGAGTTAGACTTCCAGCAGCAGAGGGTTTAAACTCTCTATGTGCAGCATTACATAGCAAAACATGGCATATACAGATTCCAGGCACCATGTCCACTTCAAAACGGTGAAGTGGTCATGGTGCTGGAAATAGCCCTTTAATATATATGAAATAAATATAAATAATATTGAAAATTGTTGAAAGTGACGATTCCTTTTTTGCAACTATGTTAAACCATATAAAAGTTTTGAATATACATAGGCATTTCCCCCATTTAAGAAACAAATTATTTGCCAATGATGAGGTGTTAGAAGGAGGTACATTTGTATTTATTCTAAATCAATCTAAATCAAACGTAAAGAAATTTACTAATATTGTCAAGTCTTTCCACCTATTTAATTGCACTCATTTAGAAAACAACAATAATTTGATAGAATTATATTTTTATTTTTAAAAATCACCTTGTGCATGTAGTGCAATAACAATAAGTACATAATATTTTGAGTAAAGCAAAAGCCTTGAATATTTGCAATACATTTTTTTTTGTTCCAGAATTACGCATACACCTAATATGTAGTTTTGAAATTACATTTTTAAAGAGAATGTATATGATAAGGTGAAACCACAGTCCGAAATAAAAAAAATAATAATTACACAAACAGAAAATGAAAGATTAGTTGTTTGACTCTTCTTTTAACATTGAGCAACAAAGTTTTCAGTTCTAAATGTTGCTGAACCGTGAAAAACAATCTCAAACTCATTTGCAAACCACACAGTGTCTGCTGTTCCAAAGCTTATACTAGGAATTTGGAATGATATCATTCTGAGCATCTGCAACACTCCTCCTTTGAGAGAGCATACTAATCATCTCTCTTCATGGTCAGTAACCACATAAGTAACCACATAAGGACCAGACGATGCCAGTAGTTTTGGTCCTGTAGCTGTTATATGTTTTCCTGCAAACAAAATCCTGCCAGACAGTATTCGTCAACCTTGTCTTTGGTCTTCTCTGTTGATTGAGGCAGATGTTTATTTTCCATCTGCAGTAACTGTCAATGCGACCGCAAGCTTCATATCTGCCAATGGGTGCTCATAATGACACAGGACCATCACATAAACTGCTGGAGGATTACTCTTGTGACTAAAATCAGTTTATGGCAAAAAACATTTATTCTTCATTTTGATAAGCTTTTAACAAACGAAAATGTGCTTTCTTCGATTTTTGCCAAGACAAGGCCATGTTTATTTCTAGCAATATGGGTCACTGAGGATTCCCAGCTGTTAGACAGACTCAGTTGTGCATTGCTGCACTCAACAACATCTGTTTCACAAAAACAGTATCCAGATTTTAGCGCGCAAATGGAGGTTTCACCATATGCCAGCAGACCACTTAGTTTTTACCTTGGGAACCAACTTTACACCAGTAAAGGTAGCAGGAGAAGAACTGAGCATTTAAATGCTACCAGGCTGTAGTCACATTTCCATGTGCACTCAACGATAACAACTATATAATTTCAAAGAAGTTTTTGGGCAAAAGCTGTTACTTGCTAAATTATTTACTAAATGAAAGTTTGCAAGATGAACATCGGAAATGTTCTAGTATTCACAGTGTTTGCTTTCGATAGAAAATGAAATTCTGTATTTTAGGGCTAAAATATGAAACACAGACCCCATATCATAAACAACCTTTTTTTTTTATTGAATTGCTTTAGTGTCCAAAAAACTATATAATAATAATAATAATAATAATAATAATAATAATAATAATAATAATAATAATATATACCTATAATAGTTATAATAGTAGTTTATTTTGCAGGATTTTTTTTACATACCATTAGGTCTGGGATTTTGGATTACAAATATACCACTTGATATATGACCTTTTTCAATAGTTTCACCTTAATAAAGGGTAGTCATGTTCAAAGTAAAAAAAGATTTTATACACAATTATAGTTTTGACTGGTTTAAGAAAAAATATATCATTCTGAATCTTACCTTAATTCATATATTTTATCTTAAGCTTTATTGCTCAAATTATGAAACACTTCCCTGCCTGGTAATCAGATAGCCCCAGAGGATCTCTTCTTCTTTCCGTTAGCTCCATTGAGCTCATCTGTCATTGCCTCCCTCAAGTCAGAAAGCCCATGAGCGTCTACCCACAGGGTTAATTTACCTCATTGTTCCCGGCTTCTGTGTCTTCTTCTTGGCACCGGCATTTTCCTCAGCTTGCCCTCAATGAGAAGCCTCTGATTGGTTTTCATGGCAAGTTTTCATGGCAAGGACTGAAAGTCTGTGTTGGGGAAAAAGGGAAGTGCTTGCAAAGACTTCAGTTAGAAGAACTACAGCTATTACAAGCTTCTTTTTAGATATACCCACAATGAATCCATGCATGCATTTTTGATTGATTCCCTGTTGAAGGTGGTACTGGAAATGCTTACCGTGCATTATGGGCTGGATTTGCCAGTAGACAGAGAAGGCATCTGCCTATAAGTACCTGTGTACTAGGGGCACCAACTCTGATGATGTATGTGCATGTTTCCATACACAATATATTTTGATAAACTTGTTTTAACCTGGGATGTTGTACTTGCATGCTTTTTTATTTTTTTATTTACAGAGAGAGGCAGTGAGATGTACCATACTTTTTGACTTGTTGTACATCCTCTAAATACCCACTGAGATTTTTATTTAAATTTTTTATCTTTTATTAGGAGGGAGAGTAGGGGTTCCTGATAATTTAAGGGACATTCTAAGCACCAAAACAACATTAACTTAATTAAGCAGGTTTGGTGTATTGATAATGCCTCTGCAGTCTCACTGCTCAATTCTTAGCCATTTAAGCATCAAAGGTACACCCCATGCACTCTAAACCAGTAGCTCAACATGCATAGAAATAGCTTAGGAAACATACATATTTTTAAAGCAATTTTTATGAGCACGCTTTGGAACACTGAGGGAAACACAGGATACACAGACCAGACCTAAAACAATATTGATGAACTGGCAAACAAGAAGGGGCAAGTATTAACTAAATAGGGAGGAGATAATTGCGTGCTAGAGCCAATTGGGAAGAGCAGCAGCCTACAGAAGACATCAGCCTACAACAGCACCACAGAAAGGTGGTGGCAATGTGAGGTATTGCACCAGACTGAAGCGAAAACAGAATTGTGACACCTGCATTGCCTCTGTGTTTGGATGCATTTTAGGCAGCCATGACCCAGGAAGGATCTCTAACAGCCATCTAAGGAGTGGTCAGTGAAGTTATCACTAGGCTGTAATGTAAAGACTGCATTTTCTCTGAAAAGACACTGTTTACAGCAAAAAGCCTGACGGTAATGATTTTACTCACCAGAACAAATTCAATAAGCTGTAGTTGTTCTGGTGACTCTAGTGTCCCTTTAAATATATTCATTGTCAGCCAGTCCACACAAGTTTTGTTCCCATACATCCCTCTTAAGTTTCCATACTTAAGTAATAGTACGTGAAAAGTAGTTAGGGTTGCCACCTTTCTTGGAAAAACATACCGGCCTTGCTAATTTGCATAATTAAATATGTATGGGTGACATCGCATGATGTAAATCACAAGGAGTGACATAAGAGAAAATGCTGTAAAATCACAAAAAAACTACTTAGTTTGATTCTGCTGTATAGATTGATTCCTCCCAGTGGCCCCATGTCTCCCAGTGCCCCCATGTGTCGATTACTCCAGGTCTCAGTGTTCCTATGTATCAGTGTCTCAGTGCCCCATGACTCCCAGTGATCCCTAGTGTTGTGTCCCCAGGTCTCCCAGTGATCCTATGTATCACAGTGTCTCAATGCCCCATGTCTCCCAGTGTCCCCATGTATCCCAGGACCCCCATGTCACTAGGAAGACGGGAAAATCTGGGGACACGGGGAGACCCAGGGACACAGAGACACCAGTGACATTGGGAGACTAGGGGACTCTGGCTGGGATGCATGGGGACACTGGGAAAATAGGGGACACTTGAAGACATGGGGACACAGACACCATGGACACAGACACTAGAGACACTTACTGGGGGACATGGGGACATTGAGACATGGGGGCACTGGGAGACATGGGGACAAGGAGACACCAGGGCCACAGACACTAGGGACACTAGCTTGGAGACATGGGGACATTGAGACACTGAGGCACTGGGAGACATGGAGGACAGTGAGACACTGGCAGACTGGGGGCACTGGGAGACTAGGGGGCACTGAGACACCAGGGACACTGGCTGGGAGACATGGGGACTCTGGGAGACATGGGGACACTGTGTCCCCATGTGTCTGTGTCATAATGTCTCCCAATGTCCCTTAGTGTCTCAGTGTCCCCATGTCTCCTTGCAGACTTTCCCCCCATCCCTTACTTCCCTGAGCTGTAGGCTGTCTCTGCAGGGTGGGAGTTGCTGTCTGGACTCTCTGTAGCTGCACCCCTGCAGATCAGTGAGTATAGATAGGCAGGGAGGGATATGCTGGAACTTCCTATCCCTGCCTGTCTCCACACACAGTGCTGGTATTGCATAGTAATCTCTTGTTTATATTGAGAAAAATACCAGCATTTGTATTGCCAGTATCACTGTAATATTGGCACCAGCCAGGCAGCCTCAAATACTGGCTGTGCCAATAAAATAAAACCCAGGTGGAATCCCTAAGTAGTGTGTGAAAAAAATATATATATACATTTTTTTTTTCTTTTTAAATCAATGGGCCAATTCCATGGGCCTGGGCCTGGGCCTGGAGCTGCAGCTCCATCAGCCCCTATGTTAATCCGGCCCTGGTGAAGAAGCATTTGGGTAAGCTGCAATCTATACTGCAGAGTAGGCTCAATGAAAGAGCAGAGGACATTCAATCCCCTGGGAATTGGCCTGCTCACCTCGAATACAAAAATTAGGGAGCTGGAAGTGGCCCATGATATGTTAGGGGATGATCATGAGGTCTTGGAGGCTAGAATCACATCTACAGAGAAGTAATTCACTTAGAGGATTTCTACAAGCACAGTAATATGTGGCCCTGCGGCATACCCAAGGCTGCCTTGAATAATTTTGTCAAGTCCTACTTCCAGACCCTTTTGACTACCATTGAGGTGCAGGATCTATTATTGGACTGTGTTCATCACTGGCCTAGGCCCTAGAATTTGCTTCCCTTATATTCTAAGGATGTAATAGTCCAGGCTCACCTTTACACAGTAAAAGTGCAAATAATGAGTAAGTGCAAATCATAAGGAAGGCCAAATCCCTGTCAGCCTTCCAGTTCAATCTGATTAGATAAATTAATTACCAATTAATTAGTCTCAAATGATACTAGCCAAGAGACTCAAATTTTGTATTCTTACCAAGGCAATCAAGAGAGAAAATATCATGTACAGATGTGGCTTTCCGCCTTAGGTAATACTTCAGTGAAACACTACCACCAAGGTAATTCCTACAGTGGAGTGTGCTGGTCTCGCTAAGATCAAGTAATCCACCACTTACTCTGAGGCTTCTGAGAGAATTGCATCACATGGGAGGCCCGATGTGAGCAGACTCAGTGGTGGACTCTTTGGTTTAACACTGTGGGGTTCCTGAATTCTCGGATTTAAGATAGCAATGTGGTTTCTAAATTTTATTTTGCTTCATAATGCTATATATTTACAGTGCTCCTTAACTGCTATACCGCACAACAGAAGATGGCTGCCCTACTGGACAAAACCCCTGGACTCTCATCCTGCCCAGTAGTGACTATATGCAGTCTAAAGGGTCCATGATCTTCATTCTGTTTATTTTTCTGTGTTTGTTTTATGGGTACCATGCATTTTATCTTTTAAGGTAAGCCCTTCACTCTGCATAATACTGATGCTAGCATTTGAAGAGTATTGGATTCCGGGCTTTCCCTGTGGCTGGAGGTCTACATTTGGGCATATTGATTCTTTGGGTATTTCTTTTATGTTTATCTTTATAGTTTACTTAATAAATGTTTTATTTTGTGGACCCCACTTTCCCAATAACATGGTATTTCCAGCTATGGCCCTATGAAGACCCCCCTTTACTTCTTTATTTTCTGTACTGGGGGCTAGCATTATAACCATACTGCTAATTCTATCATCAAACATACCGGTTGAACTAGGAGGATATTCTTTCATGAGGAAGTTGTTGGATGTAGCACACTGTCTTTTTATGTAACTCATAGTGGTAATTTTTGCTGGTCTTAGACCCTTCACAAGCCCTCTTATGTCTCTCCTTGGGGTCATACTCACTGTCAGAGAGCTCTTCATTTGGGATCTATTTTGCAACGACACATTTACTTTATGTGACAAACAAGTCCAAGTTCTATTTTAAGTGTAAATATGTTCATGTTTTTATTCATTTTGCAAACAGTCTACCTATTCACTGTTGTGGCGAAATTAACATCGCCACTTGTGCCTGGAGAAGACTGATTGCCAGCCTCCTGCCATGTGACTATGGCCCCTGGGATGTATTGCCTGCTCTCCTGTACTGCTGTGGATTGCTACCAACTAGGTGGATTTGGCTATGGAGCTTGTGTAGTGCCCTCTCTTGGTAGCAACAGTAATATGCACTATCTGAATAGCAAGACTGGTAATTTGCATATTTGGGTAGATTTGCCTATCGCTAATTCTGCATGCAGGAGAGACATTTTGTGTTAATTATGGTCTTCCCCACCCATTTATAAATATGTAATTATGTTATAATAAGTCACTGTATGTTGCCTGCTATGATTTGACTGTTTGTAATTTTATTGAGTTTTCACAGCAATGTTAATGTAATGACCATATGGGCTAGTGCCAAGTAAAATAACATTTTAGACAGTTCTACTTCACCCTCAATTTGGAGGTACCCAGTCGGGGTGCCAGGTGATCCATTACAACTGTCATTTGATGGAACTGAATTTTTGTTTGGGTACGGTGTCTAGCTGGGCAGATTGAGGCATGGCCAGATATACCCTCCTTATTGCCCCAAGGTCAGTTTCCTCAATGTCACCCTCCATATATATGCCCACACATACAAATATGCAAATGTTTGGAGTTTTCCACTGGATGCATTAATACAAGTTTGTATGTATGTGTATGACAGCTGCTTGTGGGGT